TCTCTCTCTCTCTCACTCTCACTCCCAGCATATCGATCTGCTCATACACATCTGCCATTTCCGGTCGCGAGCGCGACGTTATTGCCATGAGTATTATACAATCGGGGATGCTGATGCGAGGGGGATCTTTCTCGCCGAGGGTGCCGCACGGGGTTTTCGAAAGGGCAGCGCAGGGGAAAAGCAGGGCGGCGAATCGTCATCGTCCGCGCGTTACTCGCGCGACAATCTCGCTGAATGAAAGCGCAGCGAGGCGCTTCCGCTTTTGTTCGTGGAAAGTGACGCACCGAAGGAATGCGGAATAGTTATTGACGCGTGGCTGGTGATACACTTATCTAATGTATATTCAAAGCAGAGTTGGAAAGCAAGTTGCTTGTAACGAAGTTACCGTTACTGTTACTTTGTCTCAATAACTGTAACTTACTTTGTATCCATGTGTAACTTAACTTAGACTTTTTAAGTAACTAGTAACTAATTTAATAGTTACTTTTACAGTTACTTTATGTATGTCAAATCGTCGTCAAAATTATGCAACACTTTCACTAAATCACCTAATCGTAATGTTGATTGTAATTATGCGAAATATTTAAATGCTCATATTTAAGTACGCGCGCATTACTTTTCTTTTTTAATAAAATTATATATGTAAATGTAAATCTTTTTTTTATAATGCTAAAGCTGTTCTATTAAAAATAACTGAAAAGTAACGATTTGTTACTTTTCAGTTATTTTTGAGTAACTGTAACATGTTACTTTTCAGAGTCAGTAACTCGTTACTTTTTGAGTAACTATAATTGTAGCATGTTACTTTTCAGAGTCGGTAACTTGTAACGGTAACTAGATACTTTTTGAGAGACAAAAACTGTAACTAGTTACTTTTACAAAGTAACTTTCCCAACCCAGATTCAAAGTCAAAGGGTTTGTCCGCAGAAACGGAAAGTTAACGGAAACTGCTAATTCCTAAAGTCACGTCTCTTAAATCATTTTTAAGAAGTTGGAATTTTTTTTACAGATATTTCAAACGAAAAATTTTGAGGTAATACCGCGATCGGTCGATCTGGCTTCTGTATTCTGTTAGTCTTGCAAACAACAATTTTTAATACCTCTCGACTGTCGCTGTTAATTACGCCGTAATTCATTATATTCCCAGAACTTTTATCTCTTTCATTTCTGAGCGCGAAAATTCAATTAGTTCCTCAAGTCGCGCAATCAGGGATCGCGTCGCCGAGAGAGGATCGGGATAACAGATAAGATTGATGGTCGGCCGTATCGCGGAATGTAGTCTGCCATGAGGAGAGTTCTGTTTACTACCGGAATATCTGTAGTTGAATTAATCACGAGGTAATCCACTGCAAATGCGTATCATTGGCATAGAACTCGATGCAGCAGCCTCGTCTCTCTATGCTCAAGCAAGAACTGGCTCTCAAGCAATTCGCAGTCATTATAAATTACTGACTTACACGATAAGAATGTTAATGCCTGCCCCACGCCGCGGCGTTCGACTCAATGAACGCGCTTCTAATCGCGATCGACCAGCTGCAGCGTGTGGCATTCATTAGGCATAACGGGAACACAATCTGATTGCTCGTCATCGAAGACAGCCTTTGCCTACTTCGTACTCCTCAACTATGAATTCATTTCCATAGCGCTGCAAGAATCGTACATGAAAGAGGTTGATGAGAGAGAGTGTATATATTGACGAATAGAACGTCTTTGTGTCCCTTTTAGAAAGACAATTATTAAAATAATGCAACCGAATTTACAGACGTATTACTTTTCTCTCTACCCTCTAAAAGTGAATCAGTGGAATCATCACTGATTTTCAGTGTACATCATTTTCCAATGGCACACTTTGAACTGCGATAAGCAGTTCTAGTGACTATTTCAATGTTGGTTGAATTCAGTTGAATAAATCTCTGAAAGACAGCGAATTTCGTTTTTCAATACTGTTTGACAGTAAAAAATCACTGTCTTTCAGTGATATTCACTATTTGAATCAGTATATTATCACTGAAACAACATTGAAATAGTCACTGCTTATCACAATTCAAAGTATACCAGTGGAAAATGATATACACTGAAAGTCAGTGATAATTCCACTGATTCACTTTTAGAGAGTAGGAAAAATTTCAATAGTTATTGGTTTTTGAACTGTGATAGCAAGATAAGATCGAAAATGAAGCGCTTTCCATAAACAAAGCATCGAAGACGAAAACAAAAGCTACTGTTTTATTTAATTTTTTCTGCGCGAGAAGCCTCTTTAATTAAAAATGTTTGATCATAAGATTAAAATAAAAATAATTAACTTTTTAATTAAATTTGCACGAATGTATTTTTCGAAAGGTCAAAGTTAACTTCGAAGCTTCGGAGTAAGTAAAAAGTAACATCCCTATTCTTTCATCGATTAGCTTTGGCAAATTTGCCAAAATTTCGACGATCGCCCGAAAAATCCAAGAATGTCAAAATTCATCAATAATGTAATTTTTTATCGTTATAACAACGATGATGCAATTCTATAAATAAAATAAAAATGAGGAGCTTATGAAAGAGAGTGATAAAAGATATATCCCATTCACTCTCTTTCCCACAGTTTTAAGTTAATTCTCGTTCATTGACGATTCTGTCGACGATGATGAAAACGAGGGATCTCTTCTCTTTTTACAGATTAAACGAAAATGGCGGTGTTCGGCTTGGTCTCGGCGGTCGCCGGGTTCGTCAAGGTGCGATATCTGATCGACAAGGCCATTATCGACAACATGGTCTTCAGAATGCATTACAGGATCACGTCGGCCATTCTATTTCTTTGCTGCATCATCGTTACTGCCAATAACTTGATAGGTAAGGTACCTTCTTTCAATTTCCTCTACGTTGTCAAAGCTCCTATCTCTCTCTCTCTTGCCGGCTCCAAGAATTCTAGAGAATCCTTGAAAGTCTTCTGGAAATACGATCGAGAGAGTTTCTTGCGTCGCGATTACCTTTGATTTTTACCGTCGCGACTGTAGTTTTCTTCAAAACGAAGAAGAATACGATTATTATTATTGCCTCAGCAGTTTATTCGAACACAAAGTAAAGTGACTTTAAATAAAAATGAGAATTTATTACACATGTACAGTATACAACAGCAAATACGCGCGTGACAGACGGCGTCGGTAAATATACGAAGACTTGAAAATCTACATGAGAAAGCGGGAGGAAAAAAACTGAGAGATATTCCGAAGCGCGAAGAGCGAGTCTAAAAATAGACGACGCGAAAATGAGAATCATTTAATGATTTAATCTGCCCGTGCGCGTGGGATATTGCCGGGGTTAAAGATCAATCGACCACTTGCACCGTAAATCGAGTGCAGCCGGTCGCCACCTAATCAGACCGTGATTAGGGAAGGCGGGCGAAGGCGAGACGCGACGGCGACGTCCATGGTGGAAGGAAACAAGGTGAACCGTTCCGATGGACGCGCAGTCGTTCAAAAGTGGGTAGTGGGCAAGGCTGGGCATATTTCAAATACTTGTATTTGAAATACAGTATTTGAAATACAATTTGTATTTTGTATTTCAGCGGAACACATAAAAGTATTTTGTATTTTGTATTTCAAATAAATAGATCGGAAGAGCACA